TTTCCCTACTACATAACTCCCACAAACTGATGTGACAGTCAAGACCCTGTTTTTCAGATCTTTGTCACCCTCGGCAGCCTTGGGTGAGGCATCTCAATTCCTCCTGCTACGGGTTGTGGGAACTGGTGTGCAGTAACATTGCTGATTCTTCTAGGGGTACAGCCACTGGAAAAGGCTCATGGCCCTGCCAGCCTGGGCTGTTCGTTGCTGCTCTTGGTGCTTCGCTTAACTCCCTCGACCATTGCACTGCCTTGACCGTGTGACTGCTTGTAGGGCCAGGCGAGGACTCTAGTCACTGATGGTGTGGGTGACTCGGAGTTAGCTCCTTCCTCTGCCTAGAGGAGCACAGAAGACCCACCCTGGGGGGATGCTCTAACCAGCACGATGTCTGCTCTTCTGAGATGGAGCCATATTCCCTGCCCTGCTTGCAGCTGTGCAGCGTGACCACTGTAATGCAATATTCATTGGTCCAGAGGGAGTGAGTGAGAGAAAAACACCTTTGTAAGCCGATTATTAGGGCAATCATGCAAGAGCGGGGAGCTGGCCTGTGCTTCACATGAAACATTTACATATTTCTTGGAGGCCAAATTGGGTTGCTGGTCAAAAGGGGTAATGTTACCACTGCCTTCAGCTAGGTTTGAATGAGGTCCATGTGCTTGGAGTGTCCCTACTAGATGATGGTCCTTTTCTGAGTGTGATGGGGAAGAACGCTTGACAGATGCTCTGAGCAGCAAACAAGCATTTAGAGCTCAATTTTGTTACCATTTAAGCTGTGTGTGGATTTGGCCATTGAAACGTCCAGGGCATTTCAGGCCCCCTTGAGAGCAGAGGTGATGCCACCCCCCAGGCAGCTGGGAGCAGGAGCTGTGGACTGCACCCTGCTGCACATCCCTGGAGAAGGACAGAGGAATTTCCGTCCCAAGAATTTTAGTCCTTCTGTTGCCATCATTGATCCCAGGCTAACGTGGCGTGGCTGTGCGTGCAGCGTGGCCAGATGGCATGCAATTGCTGCATTGCAAGGCAGCGAGGCCTTCGGGTGGCTACGGTGGCTGTCACACACTTGCGCAGGGTGTTGGCTTCACAGCTTACGTTGAAACCCGCCCGCGTGTGCCTGAGCAGTGTGATGCGGTCTGGCACAACCACACTGCACAGGTCTTTCCAGCTCTCCCCTTCCCCACTTTCTTCCTCCTGCCCTCCCTTGCAGGATTGTTTCTGAACCTTTCCTGCCCTCCTGTGCCTTTTTTCCCTTTCCTTTAGCCTGTGTCAGCTTTCCCTGCCACCATATGCACGCCGTGATGCTCCTACAGCTGTTTGTTTCCCACTTTATCCTTGGGACTGATCTTTTCCACGCTGCTGAGACCCTCAGGCCAGCCAGGTGCCGCCGCCTTTGAAAGAAAAGCCACTTTCTGCTCTCACAGCTCACTTTAAGACATTAACCATTCTACTCCCCTGGCAGGTTTAAAAATGTAGGACAGCTATGGCATGGAGTGCCCCATTTCTAGCATGGAAACATGGCTGTAGTCAGGTTTTTTTACCAGCAGCATTCTTAAGTAAGTTGGGCATTAGGTTAACTAGCTGGGACTGGAGACAACTTCTATCGAGGCAGGTTTGTTTTCGAAAACTGCTGCTCTGAGTGACAGCTACAACCAAGGGGCCTTCAAATCTTATCCTGCTGTGACTGCCATCCCATGCCTGGGGACTACGCTCTGCCCTCAGCTTCAGTTTGAACACAATGTTCTGTGCTTACTCAAAGCCATAGATTTTTAAATCCTGTCTTATGAGGTTGTCCTGGTTTTGGCTGGGATAGTTAATTTTCTTCTTAGTAGCTGGCATAGTGTGGTGTTTTGGATTTAGTACGAGAAGAATGCTGATAACACACTGATGGTTTAGTTGTTGCTAAGCAGTGCTGACACTGGTCAAGGACTTTTCAGCTTCCCATGCTCTGCCAGGTGCACAAGAAGCTGGGAGGGGGCACAGCCAGGACAGCTGACCCAAACTGCTGAAAGGGCTATTCCATACCATATGATGTCATGCTCAGTATAGAAACTGTGGGGGGTTGGCTGGGGAGCAGTGATTGCTGCTCAGAGACTGGCTGGGCATCAGTCAGCAGGGGGGTGAGCAATTGCATTGTGCATCACTTGTTTTGTATATTATTATTATTATTATTATTTTCTCTTCCTCTGCTGTCCTATTAAACTGCCTTTATCTCAACCCACGGGTTTTACTTTTTTTTTTTCTGATTGTCTCCCCCATCCCACCGGGGCAGGGAGCGTGAGCGAGCGGCTGTGTGGTGCTCGGTGGCCAACTGGGGTTAAACCACAACAGAGGTAGCAGGTTTAAGTGACTGCTATTTAATGCAATGTCCTTTGTTGCAGGAAGCTGAGACCACCTCTAAGTCTTGCAAAGAAAAAAAGAAAGTAAAGAAGAAACCAGCCTGCAGCCCTGGAGGAGTGTTTGTGAGGCTGCGCTGAGGAATGAACCTCGATGAAGGGCAGGCAGACGGAGGAGGCAGCATGGCAATATTCTAGACAATGCAAAGCGTTTGCATAGCCCAGCTCCACAGATGAGTTGTGATTCTCTGCATTTCACTGAAGTATTTTTTTAGTTCTGTAGTTCTCTGGGATAGAAAATATTTCTGAATCACAGCAGCAGCACTTTCTATTTAAAAAAAAAGGGCAGAAAGACTTCTCTTCCTGTCCAGGTAGTAGTTTAGCAACAGTTTTGCAAATTATAAAGTGACATTTCAGGAGTTAACTGCAGCAATATCATAGGCCCTCGTAGGTCTGAGAAAAGCATCCCCATCTACTAATCTATTTTGTCGTACTGCCTTAGGAGGGGGCAGGGGGAAAGCACCTTACCTCCTCAATTTGTTTTTGTGTGCACAGATGGAGGGAGAGGCAGGCTGAGTAACAGCATAAGCCTTATAAGAGCTAAAGAGGGGAAATCCAGCCTCTAGAGCCCACTTCAGTGTGTAGAGGATGATGGCAGTGAGAAGCTGCAGTAGATGAGCTATTTCCTACATCACCACTGGTGCTAAATTGTCATGTAGGAACAGTGCAAAAGATCAGCCTGAGTCATTCCACATCCAAAAAAGGGCAATGAAGCTGGGGAAGGGTGTGGAGCACAGGTCTTGTGAGGAGCCGCTGAGGGAACCGGGGTTTAGTCTGGAGGAGGCTGAGGGGAGACCTTATCGCTCTCTACAACTACCTGAAAGGAGGTTGTAGCGAGGTGGGTGTTGGTCTCTTCTCCCAAGTAACAAGCAACAGGACAAGAGGAAACAGCCTCAAGTTGCACCAGGGGAAGGCTTAGATTGGATATTAGGAAAAATTTCTTCACAGAAAGGGTTGTCAAGCATTGGAAAAGGCTGCCCAGGGAAGCAGTTGAATCCCCATCCCCGGTATTTAAAAGGTGTGCCTATGTGGTGCTTAGGGACATGGTTTAGTGGTGGACTTGGCAGTGTTGGGTGAGCACTTGGACTCAATGATCTTAAGGGTCTTTTCCAACCTGAATGAGTCTATGGTTATAGCTTACACAAAGATGGATTTGTACATGGAAGTTACAACAGACACAAGTGGCTGCTGGCCACCCGCCGAGATCCTTGCCAAGTGGCTGCGGGCCACCTGCCGAGATCCTTGCTGCTAGCACCCATGCCTTTTTGACAGACAGACAACAGAAAAAGCAGCCTCAACTCCCAATATATAGCACTGTGCCTGTTTATATTCAAGTCTCTCAGATAGTCAGATAGCAAATATAAGAAATTAATTTTATTTTCTTAAATGAAGACGATAAATAATTTAATGCAAAGAATGTAAGAATTGGTGGGATGCCAGCAAGTTCAACTGTAAACAGAATAAAAGTGCAATAAAAAAAATTGCCACAAATCAGTACTAAATACTCTTTAGCCCATAAAGGGCCTACTTTTACTTAAAAGTTTAATCCAGGAAGGATTTTTTTTAATTATTATTTTTATTAAAAGAATCAAACCAAGCATATGCATTTGTACAAAACAAGATGTAGCTGCTTCAGTTTTGGAAGGCATCCACCTGCTATGTCCCACCTCTGCAACAAGAGTTGTGAAGTCCTCGCAGAAGGTGGAGGGGTCCTCACCAGAAGTTAGGGGAGTCAGTGTGTCCCACAGGATTACAGAACAGCCCAGAGGAGTGTGGAGATGGGATGATCACCACCACCACACTGGCACCACTGAGATGCTGAGTTTTTCTGTGATACAGGCCAGATCCTATGCCCAGAATATTGACAAGGGTTTACTGGAAATACTCTGCACTACTTGAAGGGAGGAGTTAAGAGCACTTATCTGCCCCAGGGCTGTACACAGCTGCTGAGCATGGAGGCATTTGCCCTTGGAAAGACAAAGAGAGAAGTTCTCCCATTCTGTTGACCTCTGGGGCTATGGAAATTGCAAGAGATACTAAAAAAAAAAAAAATCTACGGAGACATTTTTGTTCTACATGAGATTTTAAATTTATGTAAACCAGTTTCCAAGAAAAAACAAAGATTCTTTAGTAAAGGCCTTGGAGTGTGTATTTATATAATAATAATAATGATAATAAAAAAAAGGGCCAGGCTTCAATCTGTTAGAAAAGAGAGGAACACACTGAAGGCAAAAAATCCAGATCCTATATTTAAGATTAATTTACTTGGATCAGAGTAGATCTGTTGGAATCTGGCATTAGTATTCCCATATTGGGAATACTAACTTGGGAACAGTATTCCCATTTCAAGGGCATATCAAATGTTTAATATTTCCATTTCAAGAGGAGCTGAGAGTGAGAACATTCCTTAGAGAATATTCCAAACGAAAACAAAATTAATTCTAAAAACACATCAGGAAACACTTTCTGATGTAGCATGGTAAGTCCTTTGAAATAAATACAGTATTCAATAGGGGACAATGAAACATTACTATTTGCCCACTTCCCCCCCCTATTATTTTGATCTTTAGTGTTACATATTCAGAAAACATTTTTAGTACACAGTAACAAAATCAAAACAAAAAGGTACCAAGGTTTTCTACAGTGCAAACACGATCGTCTAACTGATGTTGCCTGGGTGGCCTTTCCTCCATCTGTATTTGATGCAGTCATTCCATTTAGATCTATTTCCAGAACCTGTAAAATCCCAGTGCTATTGCTAAGCAAGTGAATACTGAAGCTGTTAAAAAAAAAAAAAAGGAAACAGAGACAAAGAGAAAGGAAATAATTAGCCAAATACTAAATTGCATCAACTTCTACATACAGGAAATTAACTGCAAACAGATGGAAGAATGATAACTGTAGAGCACAGCCTCCTGAACTTCCTGAATTGCTGCAGGTGTAATAGAATAATTGCAGAAGACAATAACTTGTCATAGATATAACATCCTGCACAGTAGCACTGCCCAGGTGGCGAGATGGGAGGTCAAATTCAGCAGCCTGAGGAACTGTGTTTTCAGGGACACATCTGAGTAACTATGACAGGCTACAGGAACTCTTCCTGTTGTCACCCACCTACTGGATATTGTATTACGGGAGAGATGGCTGTATCAGGTCTTGCATTAGATGTAATTAAAACAATTCCCCGCTGGACAAAATGACAATGAACTAACAATGCACATATCTGACACAACATTAGGATATCTAGGCAGCACCTCTGAAGCCTGATGAGTTGTCTTTCACATCTGTTATGCTGCTGTTTCAATTAGTGTTAGAATAAAGCTAATTATGTTTCCCTCTGAACTTGTTCTCACTTCCATATGCAATGCGTAATATGTTCTCACTTCCATATGTAATCCAGCTCCAATACAATAAAAAAAATCACTGGTTATGTACATATTGAGAAGACAATCTCAAGTCAGACTGAAATTTGTCCTGCTTGGCAGGGGAAAGTACCAGTACTGCCACACTGAACTATGTGTCTGTGGAGGACTGAAGAGGAGGCAGAACTGGTAACTCAGACTAAGTCCTGAATATCAACAAACTTTCAGGGTAACTTAAATAAGCTCAGGAGAACCGTTGGGAGCAACTCTGCCACATAAATGGCTGCCCTGCAGCAAGCAGAGGTACTATCAAACTAGACAAGGTATTTAGGCTTCTTTCCTACTCTTTAAAAAAAAAAATTAAAAAAACATGTCCATGTTCCTCCTAATTGCAGTTCTGGGTGCAATCCTAGTCCAACTGCAGAAGTGTCTGCATGTTCCCACATCTTCTGTATTCTTTGTCCCATTTCTTCCAATTAGGGAGGGTCCCATCCCCCCCAGTCCCACTTTGCTGCTGCTGCACAACTGACTTCTTGAATTCACTTCGCATATATTCTTGAATAAAATTTTATACATCCAAAATACAATACTGGTACTCACCTCCTTGCATTTACATACCTGCCAAATAACGTATTGTATCGAGCTTATTTGACTCCATGAGTGTTTTTAAGGAAGCTATTTCAGTGTCAATTTTATTACTGATTTCTGAGATAAGACTGTTGGTACTTGAATCCTGAAACATTAAAAGATAGCACATATTTGACAATGATCTCTAGCCCTTTCAGCTCTGCAAAGCCAAACAAGAATACCAGCAACAACAGAGAGAAACAAATTTCCAACCTATCACTGAAGAAAAATAAGTAACTGGTAACAGAGCTTAGAAGACACAGAACAGCATTTAATACGATCCAGGAAGAATATTAGAGGGCGAGAGAAAACTCAGATCATACAGACTTTTGTCCCTGATATGCCAGTGCCTCCTGATGGAGGCATTCTACGGCGCATAGATAGTATCCTTAAATTTTTACATAACAAGGTTTAAGCATTCACAAGGCATAGCCAGAAAAGGAAGGAGACGCTGAAGATGGGACACGTCCATCTTCAACCTCTTAGACTCCAGCACCCGCTAGCAGCTTTGAGGACTTCCAGCCCCTGAAACACGTGCTCGGCAGCAGGCGCCTGAACCACCCCGCTGGTAGAGCTGGTCAGCTCATCCGTTAACACTGGGAAGGGCAGCACGACAGGGCACCCGCCACCCGTAACAGCTTGGATAGTGCTCAGGAAGCGAGGACAAGGGTTGCGTGCCTCCTGCCTGAGCGGCGTTCAGTGCAAATCCCCCAGACCAAGGCAATAGAGACGTACAACAGACCTGAGTGACACAGCCCAGCCTCTTGCTTTGCCGCATTCAAAAGTCTATTAACTTCCACAAACGTTTGGGGTTTACATAACATGCAACACGTAACTGTATCCTGCTCAATACCAAATGAGCTTTGTTCAATACTTACTTTTTTATGAAACTCTGTAGTTGCTTCCATCAGTTTCCTCTCCTGATCTGTAAACTGTGGATAAAAGATAAATTAAATTGTAGTAACAGAAAACAAGACACAGAACTGATAATGGTATCTTCACAGACCAGCTTACCATATCTGTCACTCTGCTCCTTTCCAGGTTTATGTCTAGCTTGCTGTCAGCTCGGATTTTACCGGTTTCATTCTTTAA